TTCAGTTACTGCGCCATTAAATAAAGTATATTTCATTAGTTTTATATAAAATATTGAAGCGTTGTTTTACCTTAAAACGAATTTATATCAATATTATTTTTCCATATTAACATATTCTCGCCATATCTGCGTGTGAAATTCAATCTATATAGTAATTATATTGTTAATTAAAAATTATATACTTTAACAATTAGTTCTTCGATTTAATCCGATTCCCTTCGATTCGAATCAAATTAAATGTTTTAACGCTGAATTCGAAGCTCGCGCGTTAGATCCGCGGGCTGGAGGTGGAGATCCCGAGGAGATTCAACGATGAAGAAAACGTGAAAACAAACGCGGCGGGAATTAGCACGCACTATTCCCGGACACAATGCGCGCGTTGTTGCGGCAACGCGCGCGAGATCGATCTGGACGATTAATGAACTTTCGGAGAACGCTCGTTGGGCAATGCCTCAGTTAGGCGAGTTTCATCCGCGCCGACGCGCGTCTCGGAGATCGGCGGAGATCGGCCGGAAGCCTCTGAAGGAGGAACGCTCTGATTCCCAAGATAATCCGCGTGTTTTTTTTCTAGCCTCCTCCGCTCTCGTTAGTGGCGCAATTACGGGGGGGGAAAGTGTTCGGCACGGCACAAAATTACCCACATCGAAGTAGATCGCGGTATTTGCGCTTTAATGACGCCGCATTTTGCGCGAACTTTCCGCCGCTTTTGCCGTCTACCCTCCACCGCCCCCGCCGCCCTGCCTCTTTAATCAGCGGCGCAAATGGTGGATACCAACTTTCAGACACGTGCAACTTTTAATGGTTTTGTCGAGCGTGTCGTGAATCGCGAATCCAGCTGTGTAATCACCCCGGCCGGCCTGCTTTTAGTGCGCCATCAGGATTAATCCTTTTTAGGACGGATAAATTTCGGAGCCGTCCCTTTGGAGGAGCGCGACAGTTTATTTTGACGCAACGATGTGGGCGAGGAGAGAACTTCCTGAACTTAGTTCCCTGAAGACGCAGAAATGTGAAATAGAAGTCTGGAAGAGACAAATGTGTCCATAAGTAATAAATAGGGGTGTATCTTCGGGGAGGTAGGCACCAAGACACTTTTTCATTTTCGGCGAGAAGAATAACAAGGACTGGACCAGGATTCGAACCTGGGACCTTCCGCTTGCCGGGCGAACGCTCTTCCAACTGGGCTATCCAGGTCCACACTCGAAACCCTTCTCGCTTACCTACTTTATTTTAAACAGAGTTTCGAGTATTGTATCGCCAGTGCTTGATTAACAGTTTGTATAATCCGACACAACTGGCTATAGGAGAGTTTATTTTATTATAAACGCAACGTTTCGGCCACGGGTTTTGGCCCTTTTCAAGTGTTGCAGCATCAAGTCGGCGTGCATGTGGTCAAATGCCATTAGGCTCACTGCGCAGAAACGAGAAAATCTGGATAATAACTTATGTGCTGACTATGTCAGTATGATTAAGAACGGACGCAGATTAAATAGTTTAAATGGAATAAATTACATAAGTTAAATTAAATACATTAGATAAAATTAAATAAATACGAAAAGAGTAAAAAAATGAATTCAGTTAAAAGACCTACGTTAGATATAAATAGAATAAATTTAATAAGTTAAATTAAAAGGAGCTGAAAAAAAGAGTAAAAAATGTACGTTAGGCTAGTCGCTACACAGACACAATGTCTCTTTTGCTCGCTTGCTGTACGAGTACAAAGTTGAGACTGAAAAGTGTGTAGGTCCGCCTAGTGTTAAGAACCGACAGTCAACAACTACTTTATTTTACTGAATAAAGTAGGAATAGTATACTAGCAGCGCGACTCCAGAGCGATGCGTCGTATCTCACTCAGCGGTTTGGTAGACCATCGTATGGTCCCTTTGGAGGAGCGCGACAATTTATTTTGACGCAACGATGTGGGTGAGCAGAACTTTCTCAACTTAATCCCCTGAAGACGCAGAAATGTGAAATAGAAGTCTGAAAGATAAATGTATAAAAAAGTTCCCGTGTCGCAATAATTTTCAATAATTAACAAATAAATTATTTGAGCAAATCAGATATTTATAATTATAGAAAATATAAGTTCAAGTTATTAAAACGGCTACAACTTATGTGTAAATTTATAGAAACGCATACCCTACAAAATTCACGCTTTTTCAAGCAAATTGCAACGTTGTTCTTCGCCCGCCGTTTGATTATTATGTGTACAATTGACAAACGGATTTTTTTCGAATAAATAATACAATATCTCCCAGTCCAGTTAAAGACGGAGCTTCTAAGCTTGCAAAAGTTTCCTCGTGAAAATGCACCGAACCAACGGGACGCAATTAGGCGCACGTGGAACATCGTCTCACAATTTTCTCAATAACGGTACAATGTTCTTTGTCGCGAGTCAGCGACAAAACCAGGTTGTTAATGCCTTTATTGCTTATCGATATTTCCTAGTTTATTATGCGGTTTACAAAGCTCGCGGTAGTCGACGAGAAATTTTGCTTTCTGCGAAATAATAAATTCTCTTTTCTCCGACATAAAAGCGTTAAAAATTGGACACTTAAGAGCATAACGTAAAATAAATAACTGGAACGAAAAACAAAAATAAACAAATTTATAACAATCGAGAGATCAAGTAAAAATTGAAGCAACGATATACGGATTTTATAAGCGATCAATTTTTCTCCCGGTGGAAATATACAAGTAAAATTTGGAATATTGAATCGCGAGTGATTAATTAACAATTAGGTTGAATATGTATTGTAACACACAAAGTGTCACAATAAAGACAATTTTCCTGTAGCCAGTTGTGTCGGATTATTCAATCTAATTGTAGAAATATACATTCGGAAAAATATTTCCCATTTTTCATCGCAGAAGACATATTGTAACACACAAAGTGTTACAATAAAGGAAATTTTTCGTGTAGCCAGTTGTGTCGGATTATTCAACCTAATTGTATGAAATATACATTCGGAAAAGTATTTCCCATATTTCGTCGCCACGTAGGAGGAGACCCCTCGCAACTTCGTACGCGGACGAGTGTGTGATCCTAATTCTAAAATAAGCCCACAATCAATCCAGCTGCGACCGCCCTCCTTTCGATCAGCGAAAGTGGTGGCTGCCGCTGAAGGGTTAAGGTGACGACGAATTACAAGCGCGGCTTTAATGCCGTGCAGCCACCGGCGCGGCCGCACGCGCGTCGCGACGCTACGCGCGCCGAGGTGAGAGAAAATCGGCCGCGGCCGCCTTGAAAACCGGCCGGTTAAGGTAAAGAACTTCGTGTCGCGCGTATCGATTTCGCGGTCAGCTCGTGGCCCGCGGGGTCGGGGAGCGGAAAGACGAAGAGGGCGAGCGGGCCGGAGGGGGTTGAAAATCTTTGCGTGACCGGTCGCGGCCGGCCTCGCGCCCTCGCCCTGCCGCCCGCGCGCGCGGCCACGTCCTGCCGCGACTGCGGCACCCGCAATCACTTGACCGAAGTCACCCGGAGACCGGCCGCCGGTGACGGCCGCTCGTTGACTCACGAACCGCCGTCGCGATCCCGCTTCCGCCCTCATCAATCCATCGCGACCGTCCTCGTGCTCGATCTCTCCCCGGCCACTCTCTCGGGCGGCTCGCTCTTCGCGCTCCTCGATGTTCCTGCTGGTCTCCGCGCGGGTCTGCCGTCGGCGTGCCTACCGCGAGTTCGACATCGGCGTCATCGACGTCCACCGATCGCCCCCCAAATTCCCGGAAGGCGGTTCACCATCCCGCGGAGGCGTTGCGTGCAGGTAAGGGGTTTCCCCGATTGCGATTGCGTGCGCGGACAGAGGGATGAGACCTGCGCGGCTCCGTGATGCCACGCCGCGGCTTTGGCGCGCGTGAGGATTTTCTGCCGTGATTAGCGGCCCCCGCGTGAGCGCGAGGGCTTGTCTTCCGCTCTTCGTCGATCGCGGCTTGGTCCGCGGCGGGCGGCCGATCCGAGTCACGAAACGCGTTTCGCTTGCACCTTCAAGTGCGCATTTACGCGCGGTGGCTTGCCATTTTCGTCGGCCCGACTCTGAGACACTTAGGAGTGTCGATATAAATCGACATTTCGTCACTGCTAATAGCGAGATCGCGAGATCTCGGTGTAAAATTGGCAGCTTTGAGTAAATATATAAATATTACGTCTCGCGGATAATCTCGCTCCTTCTCATCCAGTTAAGGTGATCAATACTCTCTGATATTACTATACATTTTACACATGACTCATATGTATATATACAGGTGCATATAGGTGCTAATAGTCTATGCAGCTAATGTAAAATCGATAATAATTTTTCAGGAATAAATTGCCAGACGCTGCATAAAGCGAATTAAATAACGCGCGAAATAATATACAAATTTCTCGCCACTTTCTCATTTTAAGACGAAGAATTAACCAACATAATTCTGAATATATAGTAATTGTACATTTCCATCAGGACTCACTTATGCACATTTGCTCCTGCCTGAATAGATTTCTTTTCTCTTATGGACAAGGATAAATGTACGCTAATAATTATGTAAACTAATGTGCACGATTAATTATTCAAATTAAACGCGGAAAGAAAAATGCAGCTACCGCAGCTAGAAACTACGAGTGGCAACTTAATTTCAGTTGTAAAATATGAACAGCTAATATTTAGTTGTGGCAGCAAAATATTTTCAGCAAACCACGGTTAGCTACGGTAGCGGAAATTTGTTTTTCGGTGAATGTACGCGTTTACCAACTTTCTCAAATAATAGAGGAAGATCGTCTATTATGGGACAGTAGGTTTTCAACGTCCAGATGCAACGACAAATCTTTTTCTCGCAACGATTACACGATCCAGCAATCAATTTTCCGCTAAACTGACTTCACACCGAGGGCAGTAAATTCATGGTGGAACCAACCGGCGATGCCTATCAATTTAGCAGAAACCCCGCTATATCGTATTAGGAGCCCATCTCATAATAGGGGACTTTCCTCTAATAATAAACAGCGACGTGGCGCGATTCTGTTGCAGTGTCCTGGCATCCAACAACGAGAAGCAACGCGATAGTGAAAAACTATTGGCACGCTGGGGGAGGTCCTTGAGTCAATACTGCAAGTGCTGCTCCGGTATGAGGTGCCTCGCTTGCCGCAGGGATCCCAAGGGTCTCTTGTGGACCAGGAATCAAGGGAGGACGACGGTGATCAACGATATCCCGCCGCCTGTTGCGACCCTCGATGCGCCGCCGCCCGCAACGAGCGCGTTGTCGTGCTGGTCGAAATTAAAGGCGCGGTGCAGGTACCGTTTAACGACTTGAATTTCACTCGCGTTTAACAGCTTGAATTTCAAGCGCCGCACATTTATTCCACCGAGCGTACAGCGACTACACGCTTGCGCTGCGTGCATGCGCACGAATACATGTACGTACACTCCGAGCACAATAAAAAGAGCCGCGCGTAATGTTTCGTTAAAATTCTACGGTGATGAATCGAAGGCAAAAAAAAAGCGATGTGTTTTGTTAGCGAGCTTTAATGCTAATGTCTGCAAAAGTTGGGCGCACTCAATGGAAATGTGTAAGGGGGAAGAAAGCACAATATAGTTTAATAACGGAGGTAGATATTGTTATCGCCAGTAAATAATTAACGATATTGAGTGATTTAGTCTAAATTTTAAAAGTGATTTAGACTAAATCACTCAATATAGTTTAATAATTAATTTCCCTTTTTTTGTGTTTCATCTTAAAGCCGCAGAGCTTAAAATTTCCTCCACGTGAAAATTAATACTTAGCTATTTAATACTAGGAAAATAAAAATATTTGAGGCAAATCGGTACGATGGGCTGCTTTACGCCTTAACAAAGTCTCAATATCGGTTTGTCGATATTGTCGATATTATATTGTATTTTTCATTATTTTAATGAAACTTGGATACAATACGCTGGCAAATATTGCGCTTCTTGTCTGCACACTATGATATTTCCACAAAAAAGTAGGTGCGGCTCTTTTTGCTGCGCGGGGTGTTACAGTTTATATATAACAGTGACTCATAAAACTGATTAAATCACTGTTACGAATTTCTTTTGAAAATCCATAAACGGAGATATCTGTAGCGCGATCATAGAGATTTGTTTATATGTTGCGTTGATATTGAAAGAGATCGTTTTCATTCAAATTAAAGCTCGTTTTATATTGCTGCACTGATGAACTAGCGCAGTAGCGCTGGAATGGGAAAAAATACACCCACAGAAAAAATTTTCCGGATCCAATGCTATTGCACTTCAATGTATCATAAAATAGGATCGATACAGCGCCAATTGTATTTATTATAGAGAAAGGAATATTTTAATCTTCCCTGAAAAATTCTCAAATCTAGAATAAAGTTAAATAGCAGCTTAGTGACGTCAGCCAAGAAATCAAGAATTTTAATAAGTATGCAAACGACCTTACTGACAATTCTTTATTAAAATTCTAGAATAAAATGACAGTATGTATCGTCTTTTGTAGAATATCGCGGTGCCAACTTCCTGCGTTGTAAGATGGAGGGAAAATTTATTCTAAACGCAAGAATATATAAACTTACATTTATATAAGTTACTCTTGTCTCAATATAGTAAGTCAATCTTTTTTAAGTCGACAGAGGAGAGTAAGAATTATTGATTTTATTTGATATTGTCTTATTTTTATACTAAATGAGGTTGCGAGAAATATAAATGCGCCAAGAACATTTTTCGTCTCGTTAACAAAAATCCTTTCTGAGGGTGCAGACTTGTCTTACTCTAATTTATTGCACCTGTTCAGCAGAGGGCAGCAACAGAAAACAAGTCTATTAATTACTTGTCGATAATTATTGCGTACATTCGATTAGTTTCGTGAGCCTGTGGATGGTATATCATATTGACGGGATAGAAAAGTTTGTAAAGACAATGACGTGATAAAACCAGGAAATTTATGTGAGAAAAGGTATTTTCCGTTAAAGTATTACGGCACGAAGATACGCCATCGTATGGATTCTTAGTTTTCACTTGGGTCGCTCTGCAACTTGTTACCTGTACTTAATCACGAACTTGTTTCCAGAACTTTTTACTCAGTTTCTTGTAATTTCCCTTTACTTCCTACCTTATCCTCTTTTCCTCTTCCATATTCCCTTTGCTCTTCTCTGCTATTATATATTTATATTTTTAGTTTCTGAACTCTTCACCGATGCAATTTGTTCGATCTTTGGAAATCTAGTTTCAGTTTTGTAACATTTTAACGCCTTTCGTCAAATATTCACGTAAATTAAAATTTAGATTCGCCGAAAGAGATACTTACACTTTCTAGGCGTATTTCAGAAAAACGACGGAATAATTTAAGAAGAGACGCGTATCGCTTCTCGAAATCTTCTTTGAACTTTTGTGGCTTATTGCTGTGTTATCGAGTTACTTAAAGTCTGCGGGGGTTTCAGAAACATTTCGCAGAAATTCGCAAAATTTTAATCGCGCCGCGAAACGTTTTTCTTCTGACAGATGCGTCCGTTTACGAGAGAGACTGCGAGAGATCAAGTGCTGCACCAGAAAATCGAGGATCGCTCCCTCCGAGCCTACCGCTTGCTGCCCGCCCGAGAGAAGATGCGGTGCGATCTGCCGTCGTGCGTTCGGCTGCTGCAAGTGCAGCTGCAAACGCGCGGACGCGCAGCAACGCGCAAGAAACACACGTGCCAAGCACAGTCTTACAAGCGTGGCGCCGCCGCCCCTGTCGGAGGTGCGTTGTACATTGTTTGCCGAAACGAAAATTATTATTATTACACCCTGTCGGAGCAAATCGCTTTACATCACTCAGTATCTTTTTACGAACGCAGTTTGTGCGAGCCTCGAAACTTTAGCTTCAGTTTTCACGTATCTCTTGGAACACTACTCTGGGGGAAAAAAAAGACAGTCAGCAACCCATTTTGGGGCCACAATCAGTAATCAAATTACTTTTCATTATGCTCAATTTTTCTAATATAAAATAAAGCATTGTTATTCTCTCTGTAAAAAGTTGTAGCTTGAACAAAAATTGCTATTATGATCTTAATAACACAAGAGCTACAGTTTCTTTTAGTGCGGCGGCTTGTATCCGCTTCATTATTTTTAAAAGCTTTGTGTCGGACCTACGTAAAGCGGGAAGGGTTTCAAGCCGGGGGTGAGTTGACGTTTGTGAAATAAGCGTCTTTTTTTTAGAGGATAGCAAGTAACACGGCAGAGATATAGAACGTTTTTAGAAACGATTTTTAGATGCCAGGCCATTTTTCTTACTTATAACACGTGTAATGTCGCAGGAACCGAAGGCTAAGATACCGGACGTCCTGGTGGAGCATAATTCCGTCATGCGCGGCGCCATCCCTTGCCTGCCGGTCCCTCTCGCCTGGTTTTGCCTAGTGTGGAACTTCCTACTGCCCGGCACTGGTACGATTAATTTAAATATTGATACAATCGCGCGAAAGCGAAGCCTTCCGTTGGGACTATCGGTTTCCCAAATTTTCAAGTGGTTCATCTCGGAGCGAAATCAGTATTCCCATCCGATAATTGAATTGAATTCGCCTAGGAACCGTTTGGAGCGGCCTGTTCAACCTGTGCACCGGACAGCCGAGGTTTTCCGCCGTAGCCGGAATGAGATCGCGGCTCGGTGCATTGATCGTCAATCTCATCGTGGGCGTGGGCCAACTGTTCACCGTTCTGTTCTGCTTCGTCGGATGGGGCTGGAGCATTTGGTGGGGCGTCACCATGGTCCGCTTAGCTAGTAAGCACACTTTGTCAAGTAACTTAAATAAAACTGTTAAACAGCAGCTTAGCGACGCCAGTCGAGAAGCGGAAAATTTGAGTAAGTGTGGAAACGACCTTACTGGCAATTCTTCATTGCAATCAATCACAACGTTTCGGCCAGTACTGGTCCTCTTCAGGTAACGCTTATTTGCCGCTTATTCTAGTTTCTAACGTTTCGATGACCAGACACATTGTACAACGAAATTTCGGACTTGTATCATCATTTTCTCATCTCTAATCCGACGAGTCTTCTAAGTTTTTATTATACAAAAAACATCTTAATTTCATTTTCTGTTACGCAAGGTCTTATCTTAATTTAGTTCATATGCTGTGTTACTGTACTTCAGACATTCGCAGGCACTTTTGTAAGTTCGTCACCTGAAGAGGACCAGTATTACTGGCCGAAACGTTGTGATTTGTCAGAATAAAGAATTGCCAGTAAGGTCGTTTCCACACTTATTCCAATTCTTAAATAGAACTGTTACCGAATTATTAGTGAAAATTATGCGAGCCTCTTCGCCACAAGCATCAGAGCATTTGACGTCATATCGGCTTATAAAAATAAAAATTGACATCCGCTGTGAGCTTTTAAGTGTAATATTCTTTTTGAAGTATCATACTTGTTCAAAATCATTTTGAAACTAATCGCGAATTATTTTTCAAGGGTTTGCTGTTGATACTTTCTGTGCTAAAGTTTTTAATTCTGCACTGGAATATAATAGAATTCCAGACTGTGCGCGACGCGACATATAAAGCGCATTAAATTACAGGAAAGTACAAGCGAGTCAAGGATTCAGAGGCCGCTAACAGCGATCCTGAGGCCAGAGGGGGCGAGCCAGCTCCCTTGCCTCCCGGCGTGCCGAGTCAGGCCTTGCGAGGGATGGAGAGGGCGCGATGATGCATTTTTAATGAAGAGGAGAGCGCGACCGTCCTCCGATTATCTAAAGATATTTTGTATCTCGTTCGACAAGTCTTCGTATATTTTTCGCTTCATATCGGTCGTTCCGAATTGAAGACTGTCGTTCGTACGAAAAAGGAAAAAAAAATGTATTGCCGCAAATATAAGTATCTTGTACAAACGATTATATATTTGTGAAAACAATTAGTCGATAAGAACTTTTCTCGGCTGCGATCGAGTCATGACGGAGAGTGGAGGATTAGTTGACAAAACACTTGCGACAGTAACATGTCAAGCCGTACGAAATAAGCTGGAGCTAAAAAAGCCTGTAAATTATTGAGACGACCTGGTACCTTTATCTCGTGCCTTCTTTCCTTCCATCATTCATTTCTCGCTATTCTTAAAAGGAAGGAAAACCGTTTTATCGCAGCTAAGTAATAGAATCTGTTAGTACAAGCCAGGAATCTTATAACGAAACTTTTTCTCTCGTGCGGCTTAGCATGTTATTGCATCAAAGTCTTCAATTCAATGAGAAATTTCTCGAAAGGAAGTATCGCCGAGATTCTCTTGCAGGATGCTAGCAAAGTCTTTACTCTATTTTTCCGAAGTCAGGATTGCGATGCTGATATTGCATCGTATACCTCGCATCTTTTTAAATTGTTACACCATATGTCGTATTCCATCTTGCGGAACATTCTCGACAAATAATTGGCATTATTTCCTAACGGTTATTATTAATTGGCGCAAATAAAGTTAGAGAGGCACGGAGTTTTCTTAAGAAGACTCGAGAGAATGTCTGGAATTTCGCAACAATTCTCCTGTGAGCGAAAATTTTGTTCGCGAGCTGAAATGAAGCTCGACGCTTCCCATAAAATGGACAGGGAGACGTGGCGAGCGTCCTGCACTTTTCTACGCAGCGAAAACTTTCGTTCTCGTCGACGAAAGGTTCGATTTTTTTGTAAAGCTAGCGCTCGCGCGCGCGCGCGCGAAAAGTTCGTGGCCTATCAGAATCCAAAGACGTCCTTGAAGATTAATCGCTTTCAGTGAAAGCATCTTTAACCGTGGCGTTCTTTCAAAATGTACTCGTTGCGTCGATGAGGATGATTTACGGGAAGCGGGATCGCATCCGGCGACGACGGTAAACGCCGCGACATTGAATTGGGAGTTCCGGTACGCGAGTAGACATTAGACTTATACAACGGGGTGGCTAAGCTCGGGGGATCTTCGGGGCGGGATTACCGCAATCTCCGGAGACACGGTCCTTGAAGCGATATCGATGGGATAATTACGTTTTGAAAAAACGCGCTTTATATTTTTACAAGCGCAACATACACATATGCAACGAGTACTCGAGACTTACCCGTTTAGACTTATACTTATAAAACTCTTGTAAATATGAAAATATACATTACTTACGTCAATTTTTAATGTAAACGCCTGCCTCTGGAAGTTCTTGCACTACCCCCACTTTCTCCCGTCCGCGGCTACTTTTCGCACATGCGCCTTTACGCACGTCTTATATTATCTTTTTTTCTTTCTGCTAAACTAGTACATTTTGCTCGTCAACCATACATTTTCGTCCGAATAAATGTATCTTCGGGAACATTGACTTACAAAATTGATCAAATGTATCACGCAACAATAATAGAATTGATTTTAAAAGAGCAATCGACGAAACCTTTCACCAACATGTAAAACCAGTGCTTATGATCGTGTTACATATCTTCCCCCGATAGGAAAAATATTTAGAACATTATGTGACGAAATCTGGATGGAACTTGGAATGCTGGAATTACGCGTACATATTTCGAGCAACATATGCAGAGATGGAGACCTTTCATCAAATATTGATAAACATTTGCACAATGTATTTCTAAATAATATGTCAGGGAAAACAGCTGCGATTTGGCGAATTACCTTGGCAGAATATTTGCGCAATTAAATGGCCGTCGTGTTACGACGAGCTGCGAGGCGTCTCATACTCGTAAGTAAAATCCACACGGGACGAGATAAAAGCAGACTAAATGTTTACAAATCTTTTTTAAACATTCGTTGCACGTAACTGTGTTGCCGGACAATTTTGCTTCTAAATGTCGAAATAATTGTGCACGATTTATCCCCTAAATTGAGATTATCAATTTTTGGGCGAATGCCCATTTAGAAATTTTATTCCCACAAAACCACTGTGTTTCGGCGAATCACCTTTCTGCAATTATTGTGACATTTCATCAGGAATTATTTGACGCCAGTACATGACTAACAATAATTAAGCTTTTAATCGACATTAACTGGCAACGTGTTTTTAACGAAGAAAATTTATTGCGAAAAATATTAGGTACCTCAGCCAGGATTTGAACCTGGACTTCCCTACTCTCTAGGCGGGCGTCTCACCAATTCGACGACTGAGGCATGTTCTGTGTTAAATTTTCTGTGTGAAAAACACGTTGCCAGTTATGGCCGATTAAAAGCCTAATTGTTGTGAAATTTCTTCCTTTCGGATGATGCAATTATTACACAATATTTGAGACATTTTCCTATCGGGGTCGTTTATAAATTTTCGAAAGAAATTCGTAACAACGATATAACTTGATCAATTTTATAGGGCACTGTGTTTGCATCAAATTGTCTTTTTTATCGAAGAGAGACGTTCTCTCTACTTGCCGATACGAGATATCACGTGACTGCATTTTCCAGCTGTCCTCCCGCGTGCAGGTCAAAGTAGAAGGAGGAGACATCGCGGCGGGACAAAGAACAATAAACGAGAGCTGGACTTGCGAGGGGAAAGCTCATTCGGCGGAATTCACGTCCGTTGTTCGTCGTCGCCTCGCGTATTACGAGATTGCAAGATGCTCAAGTTGAAGAGAAACGTGCGCATGCTCGTGAAATGCAAAGGATCTAGCGAAACTACCCTCTATAACCATGCAAATCGATCGCATGCCCAAGCAGCTCTATTTCAAGCGGCGGCTATCAAGATCGCGTTATTCTCTATTTTCTTTTTGTCGAAGGCCTCGCGAGCTCGCACCTCAATTTCAAGACGCGGTCTTGATTTATGCGTACGCGAAGATGTGGTCCATGTGGTCCGCGTGATCTGTGTGGTCGACCGAGTCTACCGTTTTTTATCAATCTGCGTCTACAGCACGAAAAGGAAACTGTAGCTGCCGTAGCTAAGACCTGCGTGCGGCAATTAAACTTCGGCTGTAAAATATGGACAACTAATATTCAGTTGTGACAGCTAAATATTTTATATCTATTGTATTAGGTGCGACAGCAGACCGTTTGCTGTGCTTTACAAATCTATAGTTACGGCAGCAAAACTATTTTTAGCAAACTATGATTAGTTACGGTAGCGAAGATTTTTTTTCAGTGTAACAACGGTGTGACTCGATCAGTTTTGCGAGTCTCTGCATGTCGATCTGGTAAGTATATTTTTATCCGAATCCCGCGACTGTCCAATTCTTGTATTGATCCATGATTGATCTCCGTTTGGCAAAACGGTAACGTTGATGTAAAAAAAAATCATCTTTCTCGCAAGCGACGAATTAGCATCACGGGGGACAGGGAGCACGGAAAAAAAATTAGCTGCTGTAGCTAAATAACTTAGCAAAAAATGGACAGCTAATATTTTTTTTCCGTGAGGGAGTCAAAACGCGGCGATCGAAAGGGAGGAAAATTGGAGCGGGCGAAGCGCATTCGATTATATTGCGTCATCAGACCGTTATTTCACGCCGGCTTCTCTTTTTCGGAAACGTCATTTTCACAGAGATTGAAAATAATCTCCCTTTCCGGCGCGCGCGCGCGCGCGGGGCTCTTTTCCCCCTGATGTTTCGCGTGCCGGGCGATCAATTTTCACAACGGTTTCGCACACACCACGGCACTCGTCGTGCGCGCATCGGTCGTTAAATATATATATACCTTTTTAGCGAAACGTGCCGCGGCTGCCGTCCCGTTATCATGCCCGGGCCGTTCAGTCCGCAAAATATCGTGCGAAATTCGAGGCGATCCGATTCGCGGCGCGCGTGTACGCCACGCGCGCGAGCGAGCGGGGATGCACAAGTGCATACACGATAACGTGCGCACGAATTCGCGGCAATTACGTCGGCGGTTCGCTCGTTCGTGAAAATCGCGAGGGCGGAGGAGCGTGTGTGCTCGCTCCGCTCCATGCGGTGATATATGCGCGCCTTATCGGCCGCAATTTATCGCGACCATGTTGCATAAACTTTCGCGCCGGTTTTATGCATCCTTGCGGGAGAGGCCGAGGGTACCTGGGGTACCCCGGGCTTTAATTGCGTGGCTCCTCCGCGTTATTTCGCGCGCCGCGCGATCAGACCGATTCGCCACGGTCGCCGGGAGCGCAAGAAAAGGGAGGGGGAAAAAAAGAAGAGAGAAAAATTGGTCACTCCAGCGGGTCGGGTGTGACGCGAAGTTTCGTATCTCGAGGGCATCGAGCGAGAATGTGCGCGCACGTGTAATCGATTTACGGTTCGTATTACGCGATTATTCGCGGAGCGTGTATTAACAAAACGCGAGAAGAGAGGGAAGAAAGAGAATCTTATATTGAGATAATTGACGGAGATAACGAGGAAGAAAGGGACATCGCGAGAGATAAAGTAAGACTGAAAAGGGGTCACTTTAGTATCAAATGTCGTTATAATTGCAGCGGGAAGATATAACGAGGAAGATAGCTTTATCTCAGCCACGTGGATCAATCGGAGAAGAAATTCCCGGAAGGCGGCCCCGACTCGAAGAAAGAAAAAGTGTGTGTACAGCAATTAGTCTGCGATTAAATCCAATTAAACTGGATTACGTTACGTATAAAATGCTTATAAGGCACGGGAAGTCTCGTATAATAGAGTTAAACGGTATACCAAACGATATACGGGGTGCTCCAGGAGGAAGGGTCGATACTCTGGGAGGTGATTAGAGATTTAAGCAAAAATTTTCATATAAATATATGCCCCATTCCCCACCGTTTCCGAGCTACTGGAATGTCTCGTGTGTTCACTTTTCTTCTGCACACTTCACTCTTCATCTAACAAACAAATCCCACAAACAAATCCATCCCCCCCCCCCCACGGAAAAATGTATATTTCATTATACAGGGTGAGTCTTTCTATATCCGACAAAATTTTTGAGAAGATAGAACGGATCGAGATGAACGGAAAAGTCCTGTACCATTTTGCAATTTTCGTAATAGTTAACGAGTAATTAATTATGAAAAATCGTTGTCTTAGGCCGGCCTACCGCCCAATTCGAGCGCGTGGCG